TTTCATTGGGGGGCGGGGGTGGTTCATATGCAGAGGACTACAGGCAGCTCAACTACAGGTCGCATGTCTACACTGCACTCCTGGCCTAATCCTGAACCCTGACTCCAGTGACCCGAGCATTCGTCAACCACTATCCATACACAGACAACAGAGGGCCGGAAGAATCTGGCTGTAAATGTGTTGACATAGGAGAAAGGTAAAGAGCTGAAACAAAAGCAGCGGGCTAAATATAAACTGCTCAGCTGGCTTTCTTTCCTCTGGGTAGAAGATAAGGAGCAGCACTCGCAGCATCAGTCTTCCAGACCCACTTTTTGTAGTCTGGGGCTCGCTACCTCGTGGGAGGAAAACACAGGGATTGCAACTTACAGACCTGCTTATTCCTTTATTGGATAATAACACATCTGTGCGTGTGCTCGAGCTACGCGGTCTCACTCGCCTTCATATCCAGCCTATAAACACTGGTTCATGTGTGAATGATACATTTCCCTGTATATTATTTGAGTAAAACATATGCTTTTAAGTGATAATGAGGATAATAGTCCTGTCATTTTAGACCAGTACATCAAGAGGATGATTCACAGCTTATTTATAATATATACAGCCGTCTTGTGAGTATGAGCCCACTCTTTCATGTTTGAGAGGATTTCTTATTTTTCCTGTCTTTTGCACGACACAATGTTAACATTTCTCTGCTGCAAACCCAGCTCCTTGTATTACATCATGCAAGTCCTGGCTGGCTGGCTAATTCGCACTCCTACATCAAACTTGCAGGCCACAGACGGGATGCCACTTTGATCAAATGTAAGTAAAATGGCCTTGCCGGAGTCTGAAAGATCAATACCGCATTAATAACACCTGGCCGAGAAAAGCCTGCACTCTGGCTGTCGCTGCGAAGTGGAAAGGAAGAGACAGGCCAAGGCAGGCCGCTGACTGTAAATCTTTCAGTCTTGGCATCTTTTCCAGGATGCTGGAAGGTCTCGCGTTTACCCTGAAGAGCCCAGAGCGGCGGCAGCTCCAGCCACTTCTAGCATCGGTGCCAGGGTTGAGTCGCTCGGTACTCTGGGACCTTCTTTGCATGGCAAGACCCCCGTACCTGATTTCCAGCTCTTGTGTCGCTAATGAGCTAGGATGTAGACCAGCACATGCAAATGTACAATGTAAAAGCAAGGCAAAACACATACATTCAAATCCTGTATTGTAATCAATATGCTAAAACATTGACAGCATACAACACAGAGTGCATGTTTCAAGTTAATAATAAGAATAATTCCCTCAGCGTGGTTCGCTTCAGAGCTTTTTGTTGGCGTGGATTGGCCACACACAGCAGAGGAGACTCACAGTAGAAATGATCCTGCTTTTCGGCGATGCCCTCTTCTCAACCTGCTCTTTTTCTGCACCAGAAACATGACTCCCAACCTGCACTCGACCTTTTTCAAGAGCAATCCTCCGCCTGAGGAGGCCACAACCCACGCAGCCTTTGAGGGCAAACTCACAAAGTTGTGACTGATTTAGAAACAGTAACGTATGACTAAAAAACGAGAACAGCAAAATAATTTCTCAGCAGGATTAATTGAGCTGCAGTATAGCATAAAGAAATGCACACTCAGCAGAGCAAAAGCTAAGGTGAGATGCATACAAGAAAAATGAGAAATGAGATCAGCCCAAGACAGAAGAGGGCCCTGATTGGGCACGAGCTACCAGTGATGAGGCGTGCTGATCTCGGGCGCTTGGCGTTAGGCATAATTCTTTGAACACAAACACGAGATGGATGCGTTTCATCATCCAGTCTTGTGAGATGAGTGAGCCAATCGGGGGGGCTGGCTCTCCTCCACATAGCGACCACATTACAATAGATCAGAGACAGAAACTGGAAGAGGCACGCTGCAGAGCAGAGGACCACTCTCATCAGCACCCTGTTTAATCACTCTCTCGAGTGCCCAGCAGAAGTCCTGCTGTGGCCTCAGCTGAAAACAAAACACCCTGACAATGTGTGTGAACAAATCCCTCCGTCTTTCAAATCCCTCCAATCCCCCTCTATCTTTTTTGCAAAGTTTTCCATCTGCTCTCTGAATTACTGCTTGTGATCCCGCAAAGATGGAAATCAACCGGTCTTTTCAGGAGTCTGATTTAGGACCAATCCCCCCCCCCCCCCAGGCCTGGCTCCTGCAGGGAACCCTTCCACTTTTTGGATGTGCTGCAACTCTGCGGCGCAAGGGAACATTTTCTTTTTTCCCAATAATAATTCACAAATGCATATCAGGCTTTTTTTCCCCCCGATTCAGTTAGATGCTCATTATAGTGAACACATCTTAAGTACTCTTATTTGATGATCAAAATATCATTGCAGCTCCAATTCCTTTACACGTGCTGCTGCTGGTCCTATGTTAGGTTTCCCAGCGCTGCTCCTGATGTTGACGCAGTGTAAACTTGAAGCCCTAAAGTATTATTCATTCCATGCCATGCTTTAACGAGACAGTCTGGGCTTCGCAGTCCTTTTCATCTCGATCCAAGTGTTATCTTATTCAGTGAAATAAGCAAAAAGGATATTCTGCCTTAACTTTTGATCAAACCAGGAAATGAGACATGGGATAATTACACCACTCAGTTGGTAGCATTTGCTGCTAATAGAGGAGACAGATGGTAAGTGAACATTCATTCGATTCCCATAAGAGACAACAGAGGAGTGAAAGTGTGACATTGGGCTGCACAGAAGAAAAATCAACAACACAGAGCACAACTGGACTTGCATAACCTCTTTGTGTCTGAGAAAACATGACGCAAATGTGATACTTTTTTCCTCTGATCGACCTCATTACAGTCCTGTGCAGCAGAGGGCCTCTACAGGCTCTAATAATTTCACTTGCTCTGAACTGACAGCCTGGACAGACAGCGGCATAAGCAAGAAAGAAAATATAGAATTCATCGCTTGAAAAAGGCAAGTAATCCCCGACGGAGTGTTAATTGTTATTAAGCATTCGAGGTCAAGGTGTGGTCCTCACACAATCACAGCAATGAAGGCAGGAGTGTTAATCAAAAGGAGACACTTGTGGAAGCCAAGGCTGCATTTATGCTCCTTAATTTCCACCTATAGGATGAAGGCAGGTGGAGAAGCATTAACAGGAGGCAGGCCAACGGGATCAGAAGCCACAGAAACAAGCAGCGTTAACTATTAACTGCTAATGGGAGGGTAAAAGCGCAGGTGGCGAGGCCCACAACACTCCAGTAAACAAACTAAAAAACCAACACCATGTAAATATCAGTTGACAGCCGTAGTGGAGCGTCAGTGTTCCATTCAGCTCTTTTAATTACCTGTGTGAGATTTAATCCTTCGTATGTCTCAGCCCATTCCTCTTAATGATCTGCTCCATTCACCTCTTGACAATACACATTCTGCTTGCATGCGTTTGCTGTTTTTGTTGCTTCTGTTAAAATAAGCTACAAGTGTTATGCTGAGCATTAGGTTTTCCATTTTTTTTTTTTTTACTGAAACTGAAGCACTGTGCCAGTGAGGAATACACAAATAGTCGCCGAAAAGTCAATGATCTCAAAAATAATCAAGCTTTTTTCAACATGCCTGTGACAAACACTGTGACGCAATGCTTCACAGTGTTGAAGCAGCCTGCAGTGTGAATGTTATCAATATTGCTGCCTTATTAGCCTGATTTTATGGTCTACTGGGCTAAAAATCCGCAAATCTATGGGTGTGTGGTGCGTCAATGAGACAAAGAGACTCAAACAGGCCCAAGTATAAAAAATATATAGAAAAATACAGCACTGTAATTACATTGCACAATGATGAACAGAATTCAGGGAATAAAAGGAGATTTTGAAAACATGAATGTGAATGAATATGAAAGGGTCTGTGTCATGTGTCATTCCTATAAAAGATGTTTATTTTTACCACTCCGCCCCTCTCTTTCCATCTCTCTGATATGTGGCTGAGTTTCAAAACTGGATAATGAAATGGGAAAATGTATCTTTCCAAATGTCATCTAAGAAATTGCATGATTTTAAGCATTTAATCTGAAAAAGACATTCTCTTCATGTAACAATCTCGTTCATTTACACACAAAACAGAAAAAATGACTGAACATTTGAACATGTATCATTATATATGGAGAGCTAATCAGTGGAAATGAATATTTCTTCTACAGCAGGACAACCTGAAAGACCAGAGGCAGCTCATCACATCGGGAGAAAAATCCAGCAGCAGCGTTGAGAATTAATCTGATCTATTTCCCCACAGTGGATATTTGGGGATATTATAATAAGTATTTGGTTAAAAAAAATAAAAAAAACAATGAGCAAAACAACAATCCTCATGCAGATGTTTGCTAAACTTCTAGAGAGTCACTCAATGCAACTATATGCAACCCTGTCTGTCTGATCAGCTCCAGGTTTTGGTCTGTGGATCTCAGATTGGTTCAGGCTGTTGGGATTCACCGTTCACAAATATCGACCAAATATCAACTGAATTGCCTGAAGGTAGTGAGAGTGTCGTTCATAGCTTAAGGGACAAATTGTAGCTCTGAATGAACTGATTTCTAACTTTGGAACACAATTTCAAACACCTTTTTAGGTTACCTGGCGCCTTTTAAATATGCTTGAGAAATAGCAACAACAACAACAAAAAAGAAAAGCAGCGTAGTGCAGAAGATTGTGTTGTTTGAGGAAATTGGAGCTTTCCCCAGAACGCACATACGCAGTCCGGCTAAATAACCAGCGTTTTTTGCAGGAGTCTGGCACCAAGTAAACTTACTGCAGTTCACAAACTTATTTTAGAATTAGTTTATATGTTCTACTGATAGGATGCACACTGTGTCATTAGTAACGGGGAGCAGCAGCACGCAGCAGATAAACGCAGCAGCGCGTTGGGGAAAGGGGGAACAAAGTTGTCACCTACACCAGACTCGCTCCGCTTTTACGCTGTAGTGTACTTCCATCCACATGTTAAAACTTCCCACTTGCATGTATGAGATCGAGATGAATATCCGCCTTACCTGTTGGCCCCTCAATGCCATCGGCGTAGATCTGAACAGTCAAAATCAGCAGAAAGGCGCAGGTGTTCATCGTGCATCTGTTTTAGTCCACTTTAAATGTGCAGAAGAAATCATTGCGTGACGTCCGGACGCTCGAGTAGTAGAGCTGAGGCCATCTACTACCTCAGTTCTCACTGAGAGGAGTTTCAGAGACACTGGAGGAGACAGGGCAGAGCTAGTTCTGCAAACTGACGTCAGGGTAAACAGTTCAGGGGAGAGATTTCTTTCTTACGGCCGCTTTCCTTCCCAGCCGCCACTTCTTTGCGTATACAAAGTATGAGCCGGGCGCCTCCAAGCGGCCGAAAGCAGCCACGACATCGTGGTATTCAAACGTCGGCCAAGCAGAGCCCCAGACTGTGTGTGTGTTTGTTTGTGTGTGTGTGTGTGTGTGTGTGTGTGTGTGTGTGTGTGTGTGTGT